TTAACATTTTTTCTATACTGAAAATCTTTTATTCTTTTGCTAGTACCAAAGAAAAGGAATAAATTATTACAGAAACTCAAATACCTTCAAATTCTTCAAAATTTCGAAGAACAAAGCCATAAGCTAAAGTTTTGCGCAGAAAAGCCAATGAAACTCAGATTCAATTTATTTGTAAACTTATACAAGTAGACAAAATCATCTGAAAAGTATATGAGTCAATTCTGCAAAGACTCAGGCAAATTATGCACTTCCAACGAAAAGAAAAAAGGGAAAAATAATAAAGAGAGGTTCATTAGCAAAGAGATAAATCTTATGGAATCATTTTGATCATTTCATTTTATAACAACACAAACTGAAAGAGCTTTTTGCAGTTTGTAAAGTTAAATTTATCCAAAAGCTCTATCCTCATATCCCGAGTGAATTTTGTATTTTCAGCTCAGAAAAAAATTCAACAGTCAGTTCCATAAACTTATTTGAATATATTTATGTACATATTGGAAACATTCTTTTTTCCGCACTTCGACTTTCTTAAATCCTATTTTTTCTAGCAGCAGTAGAATAACAAACATTTTTGCTCTTAAGGATGGTTTCTGGTAATTGTGGTAAATGTTGAACTATTGAGAATTTCTACACTTTCGTGCAAAATTTAATTGTTTAATGAGGTGCAATAGACTTATAATCAAATTTACAGAGTTGGCGAAACTCGTCATACTTGGTCCACGTTATTCGCTTCATGGGTACAGATTATCGTGCAATCTCTCATAGCTCCAACCGCTTGGTTATTCGTTGTTTTTTTAGATGGAGGGTAAAAACTTTATTTACTTCAAGCAAAAGCATTTTCTCAATTTATGTTTCGTCAAAGTTCTTTCTAGAAAGTTGTTTGTATGTAATAGCTATGACTTTTTAGCTACTATCGTTGCTTATTCGCGCACGATTTCTGCAACTTGACAACAGCTAGACAATGCCAGAATGAGACTGTGATGGCATTTTATCTTAATAATCCCGCCTTCGATAAGATTTCGGCTAATAGAAAGGTACGGAAGGTTGTTTAGAAATTTTCCACTTTTCAAATTTTCAAAATTTCCTTTCATAAACCTTAAATCATCACTCAAAGTAATTTTTGAAAAATTAATAATTTTACAACTCATTACATTACAATTCAACAACTCATTAGGCCGTTAACATTTGCAAACGCGATTTAAAAATCTAAGACTATTAGAATATTTGGAGTTGTATGAAGTAAAATAAGTCTTTTAAACCTTTGAGGTTTTTCTTGGATTTTAGTGCACTGTGCATATGGTGTAGCCACACAAGACAGACCAAATGAGATGAAAGTTAGCCAACAGTTTGAACACAGAGCAAATGTCAGTTAGCATAGTTGAATGACGGACTAGTTTTTCTATTTCAGTTTTGTCCTGCGTGTATCTGCAACCTTGATGGACAAGACGCATCTTATCTGGAGGCTGAATCGCAAATCTACGCATGGTTCATCCTTATCATTGCTGGTGTATCAACATTCTTCGGTGAGGAGTTTTCGATTTCGTGCCAATCATAAGCAAGACACGCCCCTTGAAAAATCACAATAAAAAAATTGTTTTAGCGATTTGTTGTGTGCGGATGTGCGATAAATACACGTACGTTCAACATCAATATGTGGAAACGTACAAAATGGAGGAAATTAGCAAATTTGAACAGGTTGCAAAGGTGAATTTAATTAGGTGAATTTTACCAAGAACCTAGTGTAACAGCACCTCCCTCACACTAAGTCCGGTCAGGATAGTAGGTCAAGGATGCAAAGTGTACATCAGCTGCACTTTGACGCTAATGATTCGTCGGTTTTTTTATTGAATGTGATGTGTAGCTGAACATTAAACGCGCTATTATTGCTTCTTCTCTATATTCCCTCTACAGCCTCCTTTTTTAAAGTCACGTCCTGAAACTTGATAAGCTTGATAAGTCTTGTACGAGCTTTAACCCTAATACTACAAAAAATAGAGTTAGTGTCTTTGATACTTCGCACTGCAGAAACATTTTAATTTCCGGCAGGTGAGCCACACCCTGAAAGCCT